CCAGTTACCACTACTGTGCATGTGTGTCAAGGACAGAAAGGTAGATGTGGCAGTGGAAGGTGTCAAAGCAGTTTGGAGAGAAAAACAAAGTAAAGAACAAAAAAAGAGAAAACAATTAATCGATTATTAAATTAGTCATCGATTATTTTAATAATCGATTAGTCATCGATTAATCGTGGCAGCCCTAATTAGAATACCTTTGATCAAACTGCCAGTTAAGTGAAACATGTAACGAGACTTGAGCTTGAGGTCAAGAGACTTGAGACTTGACTTGGATTTTTGGTCAAAGACTTGGACTTGACTTGGACTTGCAAAACAAGACTTGCGCACATCTCTGGTAAATACAGACAAACCCAGATAGGAGTATGAAGCATGCTTGAGACTATGCAGTCCAACCAGCTTTGGACCAAACTCCCAGATCGTCTCCTCCCCCCTCAGGATAAGCATTTCCAGCTGGTTTCACAAACAGCACAAATGGGACTCAGAGCTCGTGTCCTTCTCTGGTTTCTTCTCACACTAACTAGCYGAGTCCCCAGAGACGAGGCAGCAAAGGAAACTGGGCCAGAGTCGGTTCCGCTGGGACAGAAGAAAACTGAAACCCAGTGTGAGAAGCTCCGATCAGAACCAAAGTGTACGTACAGGATATCAACTTATTTAACAGCCTGCTGCTGATTTTAATTAAAGCTCTCCTGACTTCATGTAAATGATCTAAGATGGTTTCCAACAATGCTTCCTTCTTTAGAAAACTTAAAATCAGATAAGTTAGTTTGTTACATAAAGAAAAACACAGAGAGATCCCTGAATTAACTGTATTGTCCCTCTGTGTCTCTGTGATGGACTGGAGACCTGTCCAGCTGTCCCTGCTGGAGACAGATGACCCAGAAACTGTTCAGACACTTTAATCTGCAGATAAACCTAATTGATTTTAGTACGTCGGCTTCAGGTTTCCTCTGAACTCTGTGATTTCATAAAAAACCTGAAGAAAATGAGGCTGTCCTGCTCCTCAGCATCAGGTTTTCACATCATTGTTRTGAAGGAAAACATCTGCTGCTCCTGATAATTCACACATTTTGCTCTTCGCTGCTTCGAGGGGAAAAAATAGCTCCTTTGCAAAGTTTTGTTGTTTCTTTTTCTTTCCAGGAGAAAAGACGTCGTTCCTGAAAACAGTTTGAATGTTGGAGGCTGGAAAGCTTCAGCACAGATTCTGGAACTTATAAAGTGATAAGCTTCACAATTTTATTTATTTAATTTTATTTAATTTAATTTAATTTTGTTTTATTTTTATGTTTAGTTGAAAATATTTAAGATAATTACATGACAAT